CCCTCCAAATTGGACTTTCACTTTGATTGTCCGAGTTAGACTCGTCATCAGTAAGAGTAGCGTTTATAGCTTTACTCATGATTTCTTATTGTTAGGGCATTCATTCCTAAAGTGGCCAAAACATTGATACTTATGACATTTAACAAACTGAGAGTTCTTTCTAAACATCCTAGTATTGATTTTCTCATGATCGTCTTTTCTAAACTCACTAGGGATACCTTTATAGCACTCTTGAGGTTTCTTCTTACTCATGGACTTCTTTCCAAAAAATTTAACGAAATAAGCTATCTCTTCATCATTAAGGGTCTCAGTATCACTATAGGGACGTTCTTCTTCCCTAATAGTGTTCAGGCTATAGACTTGTTCTTCTTAGATTGAGATATGGTAAGTTCATAGGTTCTGACCTAGGTTTAAACCAGAGTTAACTATGTCATTCAAATTTGCATAGAAATCATCGAATAATTCATCGTCCTTCATTCTAACTTCAAACCTAGTGGTCAACATATGTAGTTTGAAGTTCTTAACAATCATGGTTCCCTCATGTGTGGTCTCTAAGATATTTCAAACCTCTTTGATAGTCTCACACATAGACTAACTTCTAAACTCTTCGAGGAACACAACCATAAATATAGCATGAAGCCCTTTACTATTCTAGTTACACTCATCAAAATCAATGTTAGACCAACTAGCAACCTCAATAGGGATAACTACACCTGCAATAGTTGTAGCTCGGGCAGTCCATCCCTTTCTATAGAAACCCAAATTCTCTCATCCATAGATTTTAAGAAAGATCTCATTCCCACATTTTAGTAAACATAATTGTTTCCATCAAAATATAGAGGAATTTTTAATGATTGGCTCATCTAAATTTAGCGAGTCTAGGATCAAATTTAAGCTCTGATACCAATTGAGATAACGAAAGTTCGACCCAAATAACACTTAAATGGGGGTAAATAGGTGAATAGTGCGGTATTTAAATTTACCAATTATTATTAGCAACAATTCACAAATAACAATTAATCTAAATGAATTCACATGCAACTCTTAGTACTCTCTGACTTACTTCCTATAATCAACAAGACCCTCCTGAATTGCGTGCTCTTGCACCACACCTTCTAAAATCGTCTATCTCATATGAATCACCAAAAACTCCTCGTTCTTATCCTATTGAAACTCCAATTTCCTTCCTCGATCTTCGAAACTCTGACAAATTATACAAAAGCAGGTGGTTTGGTGTTTTCAGCGTTTGGATTGATATTTTTTAAAGTGTAGTTGATTGATCTCAATATTAGGGATTGATGTAAGATCTCCAAAATATGTTTTTTTAGGAAGAATATAATGATCAAGCACCAGTATGGATGGAATAGAACTTAAGTGTATAGTAGAAGGTGTTTGGAATTGTTTAGGACTCAAAAAGCTATTTAAATTGCAAAATAGATTTTTCCCGGATATCACCACCACTCGAGTGGAAGGCTTACGCCAAGCAATCAGTGAGCTAGGTCCAGACAAGCGACATGATTTTGTTGATTTCTCTACAGTGGAGCTCGAGCGCTGAAGGGGTGGCCATCAACATTATTTCAGCTACTTTTTCTCCTTGTTCAATACTCGAACTCAAAGACTCCTAATTGACTTATACAACCTCCAAAATTACTTATATAACCCTTCTATAACTTTAATTTTGGCTACAGAATAGCCAATTATAATAAAACCTAACAAATTCATTGACACAGAACTTTAAATTAGCATGTTCAACTTTTCTCTCACTGTCACTTGTGTTTAAAAATAGGTATAAAATGAAAGAATAGCCAATTATAATAAAACCTAACAAATTCATTGACACAGAACTTTAAATTAGCATGTGCATCTTTCCTCTCACTGTCACTTGTGTTTAATAAAAGGTATAAAATGATGTGTCGATAAATCATTGGTGAACAACAAGTTGGACAACCAATTTTGAACAGATCTCAACTCTAAAAAGTTAAGACCATTTTACACAAGTTTTGAAACATTTTAATAAAGGAGAAATAAATATGCTATGTTTTGCCGATTTACAAATGGTTACTGGTAGCATCCTTTACAGCTTCAAGTATCCCTCTTCTGAAGGCAGAATGTTTTTACAAAAACAAAAAAAAAAAAAAAAAAAAAANGTAATGGTAGTCGTTGACAGTGGTTTGGAGTTGTTTCAGACGGTAGTATATATGTTTCTTGTGTTTTCTGATGGTAGTGTTTCATATGAGTAACAAAAATGTTACTTGTCTTTGTGGTAGCGGTGCTGGCAAACGGTGTATTGTTCTTGTTTTGCGGTAGTGGTGGCGGAAAACATTTTCGTGGAGTGATATTAGACGATTAACATAGTGTGTTATTCGTGTTTTGAGGTAGTGGCGTGAAGTTATTTCGTACACATAATGTAATGTGTTACCGCATTCATAATGTAATGGAAGAAAATGTTATTTATTATGTTAATACAGTGTTACTCTTATAAAATTTTTATTTTTCAGTAAAAATATAAAATATAGTTAACATATTCATAACCTACAATATATTGTTTTTTAATAAAAAATGAAATATTTTAAGAATACTCTATAACATAGTAATGCATCCCTAACGTGTAAATCAGAAAAAAAAAAGTTGGTTTTTAATGAAATGTTGAATATTAATTTAAATGAAAATGAGGTGTTTTAAAAAATTATAAAGGGATATAAATGTAAAATATTGATTCTTAATGAAAAAGAAGTATTTTGTTAAAATTTTTAAAGGGGCTATTCTTAAACTTTTTAGACAAAAATAGGGTAGTTTTGGCATTATCCCATTTTTAGTTTGACATGGATAGAACTTTTGACTATCCATATTTCATTTCTTTCAATGTAAAACACCTAGATCTAATTTAATAGGAAAAATTAGGCTTGAGCTTCTCAATCTTTCATTTGATGTAATGGTTCTTGACCTCTAAAAGCGAGATTTTTAGTTCACAATATACTTAAATTTGTAAATTGGGATTCCCACTTGACTGAAGCAATGAACATAAACACAAAATTACACTGTCAATTTGTGTTTCTACGATGATCGTTCCATCCAGAGAAATTTTTCTTTAATTTTTAAATTTAACCTTTATTAAATTTTTATTAATAAAAAGTTGTATGGGTTCAATTCTCTCCCAAATCAGATCCAAATCACTTGGCACAATAACATCACACCCTCAATCCAATGACAAATCTCCTGAATACCAAAATTTTACCCAAATATTTCAACACATTCCCTGATTTCACAATCAAAATCCTCAATTGCAAAAACCCTTACCCTAGGTGGTAGCCTAGTAGGTGCAGAGAGCCTGAAACCGTGACTTCACAGACCACCCCGGGGCCTCTGCACAACACCAGTCGCCCGACCATCGGACAACCACCAAACCCGACGAACTATGTTTGTAACTAATTGCCTGTGACTTAGTTTTTGTATAAATAAGTGTCTTTTTTGTATGCAATCGACTTTTTGTATTGAATTTAGTTTTGGTACGATTGATGTTTTGTACATATATATACATATGTTAGTTTTTTCTTCAGGATTGTAAGAGCTCATAAAAAAAACACTTTTAATACGTTATCGAAGTATGAGAAATCGTATGGAATGGTTGTAATAAAGTATCATAAAAATCTCATGTTGTTTCAAAGGTTTTTTACAAGTTAATTTGGGGACCCTCATAATGCTTGACTCCGCAACAATGACAATGTTGGGGCCTAGGTCGGGAAAAATAAATTTTGGGATAGTTTTGAGACTAAACAAATCGATCCATCTGTACACCATTATCGAACCGTGTAAAATTACAAATATATATTACTAAAAAAATAGAATAATTTAACTCGTAAATCTAACCAAGATGTGTGTTACATATTATGCATTATCTTTGTTAGTGAATGCGCACCAAATTCCATTATTAGGGGTTGGAGATTTAATTTCTTGTATACATGATGTCTTAATCAATATAGAATTAATGTTTTTGAAGCAATTTAAAAAAAAAAATCAAGAGAAATTTGGGTCAAATCTAGATTAGCCTAATCATTTTACGTGGATTGGGATTGGGAACCGGTTCACACCAAAATGCTATTGCTCTTTATATGAAGTTTGTTGAATATGTAACTCAAATAGAGTAGAATACATGTATATTGAAAGGAAAAAGCTACTGGTACATCAACTGATACATCAAGGTATCCATAATGCTGACGTGACGAGATTTTGACTGAAAATTGGAATCGTCGCAAAATTTATCATCACGGAAAATGGAACTATCAAATCACGGATGACTCGCTTTAACGCACACCCCTAACTTATTTCAGTCATCACGCTTCTCCCCCCATTTAACCCCCAAATCAATTACCCCCAATTCAAACCCTTCATTCCCAAACCCGAAATCCGTTCCCGGCGACATCGCCCACTCTCCACCACCACGAAGGAAATACCCCGACGGTTGCATCATCTCCACCACCCCGAAGGAAGCCGACATTATCCGTAGGTAGAGGAGTTTTGAGGAACGCAAATGGGGATGTCGTCTTCGCATTCCATAAATTTTACGATGAGAGTTGTTCGAACATTCTGGAGGCGGAACTTTGCGCGCTCTTAACAGGTCTCAAACTTTGCTTTGAAAATGGTTATCTGTTCAAGTTCAACATATGGGCAGAAAAGGAAATAGCGCGGCAGCTCACATGGCTTCACAAGGTTTCTACACTAAAGATTACAAAGTCTTGGGACCTAGAGAACTTGACAAACTCGTTCTTGCAATTGTCATTCGTGAACGTTCCAATTTTTTATATGTTAGGCACTGAAATCTTCCGATTCTTTTGTAACTAGTCTGAGAATGTACAACTGTCTTCTTGTTTGTAATTTGTATCACAGATGTTCATTTAATGAAATGTTTTTGTTTCACAAGAATTTCATGTTGTGTATCACTTTTATTATTGCATTCTGTGGATTACTCCTTTCTATTTATCGGTATTCTATCGAATTGGAGGATGCTAAGGAAACACCAAAAGAAATGGCTTCCAATTTCACTTGTGCGATGTTTGAGACTCCACAGGTTGTGCTTAGAGGTGCTAGACACATGGTATGCTGATAAATCTGTGATATTTTCCATAATTTGGGTGATTCTTTGAGAATAATTTTTAAATTCACCTACCAGGCTGTTGTTGAGATTAGCTGTGAACCATGTGTACGCAAACATGTATGTAGTATCTGATGGAAATGCTGTTGTGTCAACAAGCCCTACACCTGATGGAAATGTTGCTATCGATTCTTTCCACCAGTTTGAGGATGCACAGTGGCTTCTAATTCAAAAGGCTGAAGAGGAGAAGCTCCTGAAAGTTACCTTTAATTTACCGGAACCAATCCTTGATAAGTTAATAGGTAACTCTTAACGATTATTATCTGAGTGATGGTGTGAGTAAATCTGCTCAACTGTGGAATGAGCAGAGGAAACTAATCCTTCAAGATGCATTTTCTAATTTTCTTCTATCTTCAATGGAGAAGGAAGCAAGATCCTCGTTGACTAGTAGAGCAAAAAACGGGTTGCTCTGAGATTATGGAAAGCTTTTCTAGGTGGAAATTGATGAAACCAGCAAGAATTGTAAACCAGCATATAGAACAATAAAACAGCAAAAAGATTAAACCAGCAAGAACAATAAACCAGCAGCATCTATAATGATAAACCAGCAGAAAGTTAAACCAGCAAGAAGAATAAACAAGCACGAGGAATAAACATTTACTTTATTTACCAAAGATTTTCTACACATTTACAACTCTATCTGACTTAGAGGTTAAACATAATTCCATCACTGGCACTTCACCAGTTATATTACAAAATCAAAAGATCTCCCAAAAATCTGCCACGGCACTTCATCAGCATCAACAGTTGTCTCCCAAAAACGCTGATGGTTTAATGCAAATTTGTTATAGCTTCCATGCTGTCTTGTGTCCCAAACGCTTGAGGTGGTGGAGGAGATGATATGCTCATCACTTGAGACATTGGCAAGTTGTTTGAGACAATGTCTTTGGACAAAGTGGGCCTATTGGAAGATGCCGAGTTCAACGTCGCCTACAAGAGTCAACATGAACATTAACATTGTAACATGTGAATAATGTATTATGTGATAACTAAATTATGAATTGAACAACAAACCTTATTAACCACAATAACACGTACTTATATTAACCATCTCAATTAAAAGTTTAAGCTGTTAGAAATGGTCTCATATATCAATTTAAATCTTGCATTCAACAAGCCCCTATCATGACCAGACCAAAAGCAAGATCCAATAAGCCATTCTATCCATCTAAAAAGCTCATACAAGCTGTGAGATTACAAGATTAATGTTTCAAAATACCCACCATGAATATGTTGGGGGTAAAACTCCACATAGATTAAACAAGAAAAATATAATCAACTAGTAAGGGCTTGGGCTAAGAACCCCAAGACTTAGAGCATGTTTCGGAGTGCTTCAAAGCTCCTCATAAGCACTCCCAAACATTTACTTGATAACATAAGCACTCAATTCATGTTTATATGCATCTACCTATTGACAAGACGACATCAAGAACACCACTAAAGCATTTTTCTTTATTCAGTTTCTCAGTTAAACCACTATTTTCACATCCGTCATGAATTGCTCAAGTGTACATCTTAATCTAATTACCAGTACTTCACGAAATTGGCACCGGAACTTTCAATGTGCATATAGGCAGGAAAAAAAAATTTCGCATAAAAAGGGAACATAATTATTTCACCATTGTTGCCGTCCTTGCCGCCGACTTCATCGTCGTCCATACCGGAAAGTCTCTCCACAAAAATGCACTGCTACTGGAAGAAACGAGGAAAACGAGTGGTGGAAAGAGGGAAACGAGTGCTACTCGAAGAAACCGCCACCACTGGAAGAAACTAGGAGGAAATACATGAAAATAGTGTATTTTCAAAGTGACCTTTGACTAGGAAATAGAATTTTAAAAAAAGTTAAAATGTAGGTTAACTTTGAAAAAGTCAAAAATACCCTCACTTTGTCAAAAGGAAAATTCCTCATAGGCGACTCTCCTTCCACCGACCCATCTCATCGGCGACTTGAAATTCCACCGACCCTCTCACCGGTGAGTTGAAAGGTTGGTTGTTGTCATTAAAAGTGAGGGTTTTCATAGATTTAGTTCGAATTTATGTACTTTT